TATTGGATTGATGTAATTTTGGATTGCCAGTATATATTACAACATTATGATGGACATGTACAATGTGTGTCATGTCATTATTATTTATTGACATACGTTTTGTCAAATATCGCCACATTTCATGTGAGACTATATTGTCGTTACCCCAGTCTGTCGATCAGTTTATTGGTTTACAATTCTCGTAAAACCCTCTATATGTTAGAAATTTTCAGATTTTAAAAAGGCTGTAAGCTTACTTGTTGGAATTGTTCATTTACTAAGAAGGATGAACAATGAATACTTTAAAGAGTTATTTCCCAGTTACCATAACCTTGTGACCACGCTACTGGTCACAGTTTTTAAGGGGTTTTTTCTTCTAAACTTGCTGGGATTGTTTAGATAGTCGAGAAGAGGAACCCTTTCAAAATTCTACTGGCCTTATAGTGCCACTGAAATCTTGTAAACATTGTTTGGATCAGATTTTCTTTTTTAAACATGCCAAGATTTTTTTGGCTAGTCTAAAGGAGGAACCTTACTGAAATTTAGATCTACTGCCTCTGTTATTGAAACTTTGTAAACACTACACAGTACAGAGTTTTCAAAGGGTCTTTTTTCAAACTTTATTTTAGATTGTTTGGGTAGTAATGAAGAGGAACCTTGTCAAATTTCATGGTCGCATATTAGTTATATATCCAGTTACTAACTGGATATGCAGTTAGTGTTCCTGTCATTTAAACCTAGTAAATCCTTAACAGGCCTGAGATTTTAAGATTATTTTTTTTTTTCAAATGTATAATCTAAAGCCACTCAAGAGTTGCGCTTCAATTTAGATCTGTTATCAAAACTTTGAAACACTCTGAATAACTTTATCAAACTTGCTGAAATTCAAGGATAACCATCAATTTTATGTGTAGTTATTACCCGAAAACATAACAACCACCTTTTAAAATGCAGGTGGTGGGTGTATATTTATTGCTAGGCAACACTATGTTTTTATTCATTCTACAATCAATTATTGTGTTGTGTCATTGTTTACTTGTGAGTCCATAGTGGTTTTGTCATTGTTTACTCGTGAGTGCATAGTGGTTTTATAAGAGATAAAATGTTTTTGGAATCCTGATTCCATTCCTAAGCAGAACAGTAGGACGTTAAACCCCATTTCATTTCATTTCATTTCCATTCCTAAGTCCACTTCTTGAATTCAAAGAAAGAAAATGGTTTGTTTTCTAAAGTTAAGTTTTGAGTTGTTAGGTTTGGTTTTTATTGTCTCTAGAAGTTTCAGAGACTTTAAAACACAATAACTGCTTCAAATTGAAGTGGGAACGGGGTTGAATTAGTTAGATATTTAGCATTTTCTGCCCAGGTTATGCAGAGTGAGTGTCTTCTAATTATTTGGGGATTGTGATAGGGGGATATCAGCCTAACTGTCGGGTTGTTTTTCAAAAAAAAAAAAAATTAATATGGCTTAAGTACTACTCTGGGTGTTTGTCGTTTATCTATGCAGATACTTTAGGGATGTTGTACAATACACCAACTTTGGAATATGATACATATTCCAATAAGTTCTAGATCTGATACAACCACAATACTGCACAGTGCACCTTTAAGCAAGCGCTGTGTCAGTTGATATTTTATAGCTCATTATAATTTCCTCAATTTGATTAAAATACAGATCTATATTTCATTTTGTTTTTTTATACTTTCAATGGCCTACACTACATGAAGATTTGACAAGTTGTACTCGAAGGTCGTGTCAGGGGTCATACGAGCGTCTTTTGACCCTATTAATCAATCAGCGTTGACGTTTCTAGTGGTTTACCCACAGGTCTGTGCATGGCACACCAAGAAGTCGCCGTAACAGACCATTTCATTGGCTTATCCCTCACTTCAACCAAATTGCCAGTAATATAACAACTCTTTCAGATCCTAGTGTAGTAAAGACAAGTAAAACGAAATATTGAACTATAAAAAAACGAAACGAAATAGGATCTGTGTTTTAATCAGATTGTATCTTATTGTGGAATTCAGAGAAGAATACTGTGTTCATTACCCCTAAGTCTTGTTTACGTCTTTGGATGCATTTTATGATCATATCTAGATTTTGTTAAAATATATTCATTATTATCAGACAGTTTTTGTGTTTTCATGGAAACAAATGACATAGTTTTACATAGACAGTTATTAGAGCCTCATCTAAAGATTTGGTCGTGCGCGGCAATGTCGGGCAAAGCCCGAACCGTGAGTACCGTATGTGCGAGCGCGCCGCCTAGTCACCATGTTAAACGAGGCTCTGACAGTTATCATTTCTTAATAACATTTCTAAACATCTGCATAAAATCTTGAATTATGTAAATGTTACAGTAATTGATTCTGTTTATTTAGCCTTCCCTGTGTGGTTTCAAAAAGGGACATAAAAAATAAACTTTCTCAAGGAACAGGACCATGTGCACTGTTGGCAAAATGTATAACAGTTATACTAGGGTTAATAGAAGCATAAACTAAAAACGCCAGAGATTGTATTGGCTATTTTTTTTATTCTGACAGCAAATCTACTAGACAAATGAAAACAATCACCCATAATTGCTTTCAAGTGTGTAAATGGTTAATGCTCTTATAATGCCTATTACCATTGCTTCAGTAATATGAGTATAACCAACTGAATTATTATGTGAATTGAGAACATTTACTAAATGTTATATTTTGTTGCTTGATGCCAAAAACATAAAGAAGTTGTTTTTCCTAATACCTTCGAAACATGTCATTTGTTCTGATTTAATCAATCAAAACCGTATTTAAAGTATTTCATTTGTGCAAAAGTTTGATGTAAAGTAAGTTCATGCTAGAAAATATATTGCCAGTCAAAAAAAACAAAACCCACAAGGACTTAACTTGACATCATTGGATCAGAGAAGTGGGAAGATTTGATTAGTTTGATGGTAGTAGTAAGGAAGTAGTACTATACCGTGAACCGTATAATCATCTTTTATTTGCTCATTTTTCTCACGAATATCACAGAATTCTTCCACCCAAATTGAGTTTTTTATTAACTTAGTAATCTGGTTAAGTGAGCCAATAACAAAATGACTATATATTTCATGTGCATTAGATGCATTTCATTGGTTTGAAGGCTCAAAATTTCTTCCTGTCATTATTATATTGAGTTGTTTGAATCGTACTTGCGTGTGTTATTTAGAGTCAGAAACGGCTAATGTGTCTCTTATAAAGTCAGTAACTGTACCTTTTTTGTGGTGTACATTTACATATATGTTTGAATATTGTTCTCAACTGTTTTCTCTTGGTCTTCTGGCTTTACCACTGCTAGGACGCAGAAGTGCGTTATTGTAATAAGGTTTTACCGCTTATTTTAATCCCAAAAAGAAATTTAGTGTTATTTTGTAGTAAGAGGATAGTAAGTTTTTTTTTTTATAGAATTTTTATTTTGAAACTCCAAAGAGTGACTGATGATAACCAGTGAGAGATACAACCAGGCCATATTTTATGGTTTTGGAAGTATACATTGATCTGATAAATTTATTACCTATCCGACACTCCCTTGGTCAACATCCATCACAATAGGCATAAAAACGGTTAGGGAAAGTATCAAACACTTCAAATTACCTTGCTGCTTATAACCTTTTGTGAGATTTAGATGAGGTAATAGTAATGCCAGTTACCAATATAGCCTGAAGTTCTTTGAAACAATAGGTTTATGATGTCTGTGTGTAATTCTATTGATGGATGAGTAATTGCTATAAATAGTAAGTAAGAAAGGTTGAACTTGATTGAGTTTATCATGGACTGATGGTGGTAGAACAACAAATTGATCAATATTATTATGTGTGTGATTCTATCTAACATGACTCACATTGTTTATCTTCTTGCTGAGTCAAAGGGAGACAATAAAGAGATTAATTTACCTTTACAATGTACATGGTTCAATACCAAATTAATAAATTTTCATTATTATGACCAAAGTTGCCTGTCATTGAATCAGTGGTATAACTTAGTACCGGTATCCTGTGTTCTAGTGAAAATAAGGATATGTTTCATGCACAACTTATGGCTTACTTATGCAATGGGTTCAAGCTTGATTCACTAAAAACTGTGGAAATGTTTGTTCCTGTTGGATGGTTGGATGGGGGAGGTTGGATGGTCAAATGGTTAGCATGTGCGCGATGTATCATAAGGTCTGTCATTGAGTCAACTGGCGTGGTTTTGAATCCCCGGTTGTACGTGACAAGGAGTTGGGTCGCCTGTCCAACCTCATGGGTTTTCTCCGGGTCCTCCGGTTTCCTCCCCTGCTAAAGACCTAAAATTAAACCATATGTTAGTCATGAAATGATCTAGTTTGTGTCGAGTGGACGTTAAACCCCATTTTTCTCTCTCTATTCCAATGTAGTGTTTTGATATACTGAGAATCTTTTAAAAAAGAAGTGAATGATTGGTTGTTTCTGTTGAGGAATTTAGTTGTACTCCAATAAATATAAAAGGACCCAGTTCTATTTCTAAGGTTAAAGTTCTGGTAGTCTGTTTTAAAGGAACAAGACTTCTTTATTATAAAATTTTGGTGAAAGTAAAGTGTTGAGGTCATTTGATCTGAACTATGATGGTGCACTGCATTAATGACAATATCCAATTTTACGATGCATTGATTTCTTGTTGAACAGTAATGTACTCTTGGGTTATTGTGTAGGGTTTCAAGGGATCAGTTGAATAATAGCTTGCATTTTGAATCCGATTTTCAACATTTGCTGGTTTCATCTGTATTTTTTTCTTTGATAGGTGGGAATACTACATTCATATATATATATGGTAGGCCTAATGTACCATGAATAAACGATTTTCTTTGAACTACATAAATATTGGGAAATGGAAAGACTGATGAATGACTGCGGACATGTATTTATTTATCAATGATAATTCTTCAAAGTGATTAAAAACTGGTTCAGATATTAAAAGTCTAACTCTGATATCATGGAACGAACTAAACCTCCTTAGTTTTCAAAGCATTCAAATGTTACTGATGAAGTGTGTTATATTAGCAACTTCTTTAACTCAACGAAGATAAATTTCAGATGAGCTTTTCACAGTATTGATAAACTATTGTAGATAATCTGTGAAATTAATAATGTCCAGTTCTGATACAAGTACTTCTCCTGTTCGCATTGTCTTCCCTAATTTTCACCAACAACCACATAAAATTGAACAAGGGATTGAAAACTTTCTTGAAACGTTCAAAAATCATGTTTCTACTCTCGACAGTCGCATGAGCTTTGGATCAGGAGATTCTTCTGGATTTACTAGTTCTGTGCCATCCACTAATTCGGAATATGCTGGAACTCTTGACAGTCCAGACAAAGAGGGATTATTTTATCACATTCCGGATAAGACTGAGTGGATTAAGCGACAAGGGATTATTGATGAAAGTCGTAGAATCAGTGAATGGGCTTGGAGTAGATTTCAACATGATGATCAACCAGATATTTCCAGTGTTGGAAAACAAACTCAAACTTCGAACTCAGGTGAGTTTGGTTGGTGCTCTTGTCTTAATATTGTTACGTTTTGCATGTATCTATTTTATGTTTTTGTGAACCAAGTTTACCGAATATAATTTTATAATTTATAACAAGAGAGATAACTGTTTTCACAGATGGGTGTAAAAAGACTTAAATAACAATGAAATTAAACATACATTATGCAAGAGCTAAATCTGCCAATTGCAGGTCTTTCTTTAGACCTAAAATGTTATCTAAATTATTAATTAGACATTAATTAACTTATCCAGATCATAATCAACTCTCGATGTCATCGATAGCCAGCGATATTTACTGGATTAGAACCTGATCTGCTGCTCGATGTTCATTGATGATTAAATAAAAAAAAATGGATAATCGAGACTATGTTGTTTATCATACCGACTTTAGTAATGATGATCGAGGCTAGGCCCAAAATTCAATCGTTAAATTCTCGGTACAGAGTGGCTCAATTTGACTGAAATTTTCAGCAAATTCCCTTTACATTATCTAGTTTTTAGCTATTATAGGGATAACTGCCAGCTTTTTATCTAATCTTCCATAATGTATCTTTAACTAATAAACTTTAAATGACCTGTATATATAGTATTTACATCTTTGTGTACAGTATATAATTTAAATGATAAATGTAAAAAGTTGTACTTCCTTATCCTGTTATTTAAACTCTTTATGACCTCTCCAGTGGAGTATCCAGGATATCAGAAAGGATGTCTACAAAATTATCCTACGATACTTGGTAGGTGGTTATAAAAAAAAACCTGTCACCAATGTTGGTCGTTCCATCATTGGATATGCATATTTTACATGCCCATGTTTCCGATATGCACATTTTACATGCCCATGTTGATGTGATTGTTAAAGCCTATTGAAATGGTATATTTTAGCTTTTAATTTAGATATAAAATCTTGCAACAATTAATAGGTAAAATAAATTAAATTTGTGAGTTACAGTTAAAAATGTATTATGTAAGATTTAGATAAAGAGCTGACAGTTCTCACTATAATAGTTTAAAAATAGATAATGAGAAATGAATATATTGATTATTTCAGTCAAATTACTTTATTCTGAGCAAAGTTATGAGTGTTTGAAGTTTTGATAACAATTAGTCTTGATTGTTAAATACCATTGCTACTATAATAAACTAAGTCTCAATTTTCCATTTTAACGAAGATATGTTTAATTCACTTAATATTTGCCTGACATGAAAAAATGTCTAAATAATTAATATGACATTTAATAAAGCCGGGAAAAAGACCGGCCATAGGCAGATTTTGCTCTGACATAATGAATCTTTAATTGGCTGGGGTTTTTTTTCGTATGACAAACTTAGCAACTGGTGATTTTATAGAAGTAAAGGAAACTGTTTTATAAATATACACATGTATATATCAATAAAGCTAGTGTATCACACTGTGAGGCAAATAATTTGTAATGCATACATACATACATACTCTTGTATATACCATGCAGTTGTGTAACGAAGCATTATTATAATATTATTATTGTAAATGAACTCCCAAAATCATACTGGAAAATAAAGGAAGAATGTTTTACTGTGTTATCTAATGCTTGGAGTATGGGTAAATCTATCATGTTAGGGTAGTAGTGCTATATCTTCCAAGAACCATTAGCTTGGTTTATGTGATGATGATTATATTGTGATAGCTTTAATAGATGTCACATTAACATGGTATCAAGTTAATGAACCAGGTTTATTGGCTACCATTGGTATTTGCTTCTGTTTGTGGGCTAGGAAGTGAGATTCTCAAAAGGTAATTAAGAATGGTGGCATTCTAGCATGTTTTACGATCTGTTACTATTGATTAGCTAAATCAACACATCCTATTCTCTACTTCATTTGTCTGATTAACTGGCTCCAATTACCCTAACGCTAGGTCAATACAGGTCAGGTATTTTATCCAGTAACATATATTGACCAGTGGTCTCGTGTACAGTAAGTCAACATTTGGAGCTCTGAGAGATAATCAATGTTACATTATACAGGGTCCCGTATGGGACACAAATAAAAAAAAATATCTAGTGCACTAGTTATTATTTGGAGCACACTGGATAATAACTAGCATACTCCATTTATTTTCTGGTGTGCTCTGGATACTAATATAACTGGCACACCGGATAACTTACTATAACCAGATCTCTATGGCTCTCGCCAACATATTCTTTTCATAGGCATTATACGATTTGTGAATATTAACCCAGTCTTCTCTAATATTTCAAACAAATATTGTCCTGAATTACCTGAAAGTCTGATCACTTCAGTCGCAATTAAGGTCTACTTTACGCCACCTCCACCAATTTTTTTTCGAAAAGACTTTACCCCTAAATTACATTCATCATAGTATTAGGGAGTTAATAGGAATCAGGCAATTTGTGGGAATTGTGCAATAATATTGTCACAGAGACTATTTTCTCTTGTAACGGCATAATCTATAACTAACTTTATACAAAAACAAACATAAAAACAATGGTCAACGTGGAATCTGCAAAAAAGACAGACTAATAACTGACAACTGAAGTATTACTGGTAGGTTTTATAGAAAGAGTTTGCATACAGTGGCCCCTTACCTACTTGGGGATTAGGTTAGGGATGGGGATTGGGTAAGATAAGTGGCATGGTTTCTAGCCTAAGCTTGTACATGACATGAAGTAGGGTCACCTGCCCAACCTCATAGGTTTTCTTTGGGTCCTCTGGTTTCCTCCCACTGCTTAATACACCTATCCTAATAAGTGCAAGCAAACTATTAAAATACAATTTAAGATAAATTAAAATTGATGAGACAAGTTAAGTCTTTTGGTATAAAATAGCCATGGCCATAATCATGAACTGTGACCCAATGAAGGGTCAGGAAAGTTTATTTTGAACAAGAAAGCTAGGAGACTATTGATACCAACAATTACTGAAAGATTTCGCACAAATTCTGTAGTAAAAATAACACATTCTTGCATAAGCTGCAACTTGTTAGAAAAACAATTTTTTATGTTTTATGAAAGTTTATTTAAACTACTGAAAAGTACCTATGATATGTATGTTAAGAAGATAGTCTGATCATAATGCTTAAATAATTGTAAAATCATTGAAACAGTAGGCTATCAGTTTAAAAATAAAACCAAAAATGACACTTTTAGAGCTGTGTGCTCTTCTTTTTAACATGTATTGTAAATATTTAAGGCTGTTTCAATTGTAAATTTGTCCTTCTTCCATCATGTAATACGAGTAAATAGACAGTGATTATCACTCTAGAAGTCAAAGAAGGCAAAGATATAAGTGTATTTGATTACGTTCAGAATTTGACAAGCATATTTATCATGTCAATATTTTTGGCTGGAATTGTTAAACTGTCCATAGGATCGTTTCAATTTGTATCAGCATATTTTATGGAGCAAAATTAGGGTATGTTGACATTTGTTATTTGACAAAAATAAAGATCTTATATATAATCACTTGGATGTTTAAATATGATTATGACATTTTCATTCTAAATATTTTATTCCTCTTCATCTTAGATTATTTGTGCCAAAACATTCATCTTTTCCGTGTACCTTATTAATACATCAATTTGATTTCTCACATCGAGAAATAAAAAATATTTTACCTCTTTTAACATTAGCACTAGCTTGCTAAATTTAGGTTGGTTGCAGGGAGGGGAATTGAAAAATATGATATAAGAGTTACATTATCAAAAAAGAGACCATGGAATATAGAAAACAATTAACAGATTCAGGTAGATTATTAGTCAATTAGCTTTAAATGTTCTTTTAAGTCGGACAAGTGCAGATTTTTTAGAAATAGAATAGTGAATAAATAAGGCTTAATACGATGTAGTTAAACATTTATTTTACCTATTACTAAATAATCGTTAATACCTTGTTAGTATTTAGAAATCAGTTAATAATCACATAATCTTGAATCGCCTTAAACATAATCTGTTACGATAAATCTGTTCATTTGACCTAGTCTTACCATATTTATACAGACCTGCTCACTGTATATTTTGGGAGATACTACCAAATTTATAGGTTTCATAATTTAGCTAGGGGCAAAAAAATGTTAACGACTTACACTGTTTGATGGGTTTATGGGTTCAGTTCAAATATCGAAAGATTATACATTTTGTGTAAAGCATTTGTCACCCATTACTAAAGTCCAGAATTGATCAGGATGGTAGTGACATGGTTTTACCCAGGTGTATACTCACCATATTACAGTTAGTTTTTATTTTTTAATAGATTTTTTTTGTTAATACGGTATATCATAATCTTTAAACCACAGGGGACCAGGAAATAGGAAGTATGTAGAAATGTAATAATTGCTATTCATATATAATCATCAGGGATCTCAGTCCTGAATGGACAAAATGAAGGATTGAAGCCCCAACATGCCAGATTATGTAAGGGTTAATCCCTGCAAGCATCAGTCTAAATATAGTTAAATTCTGTTCAGTATTTACAAACATATAATGAAGTCAAAATTTTATAACAGTCGGCATCCTCTATAGACGATAAAAACTGGATATGGTCAAGATAAAAAAAGGGATGTGAACCAAAACAGACAATACTTCACGACCTAAAATGTGGTCAAAATTTATCTAAATATATATCTCTGGATTTTTATTAAATAACAAATATTTATTCATTGTTTTGGTTTATTTTATGGCCATTTTGACATCATCTAAGTTTTCCTGAAATATTTTGATGGTCCTCCTTTTAATCCAAGCCAGGGGGATTATCTACCGTTGACTTCTCTGACTATTATTGGTGTTTTGTCTGAAGTATTGTTGTTTGTATCAACCAGTATTTTATGTATGTATTAGTATTATTTATATATTATTATTTATCTAATGTATATGCATGTAATTATGTCTAAATGTAAGTGTATGCATGCAAATTCTCCTACTATTCATAAAGTGATGATACAACTGCACAAAATTATTAAAGCAAAGATACAACAAAATAGGGTGAAAATGTG